ATTTTCCTCTTTATCCTCAACCGTTCTTTTCCAATCTCCTCAGCTTCTACCATGGGATTCTTTGAACAMGTTGTAGCCATTAAAGGAAGAGGAGCATCACTAGAAGCGTTCCAAATAAAAGGCGTCCAATACCTGGTACTAACAACGACTATGTCCCACCCACAGGTTTATACGATAACCAATTCRACGCTACACTTGAACCAAAGCTTACCAGTCTATGGAGCTTACACGATCAGGCACTTCCAAATGAACGGTWACCACTTTTTAGCCATTGCTAAACGATATTACGGAAGTTCATTTCTGCAATATTCTGCAATCTTCAAATGGGATGGTCAGGGGTGGYCCCTTTTTCAAAGAATTAGCACCAAGGGAGCCGGAGAGATAAGTTATTTCACGATTCAAGATCAAAAATTCCTATGCATTGCCAATTCTYATGATGGCCAGACGTATGCTCTCGATTCTTTAATCTACAAATGGGACGGACGAATATTTGCGCATGACCAAAACCTTCAAACCGAAGGTGCCATYGCTTGCTCAGCCTTTTCGATCGACAGSGAACATTTCGTTTCATTTGCCTCRAAATCGCCTCATTCCAATTCACTCGTTTTTAAGTGGTCTGGGAAAGCGTTCAAAAAGTTTCAAGCTATCAGAACAGATCATGCAGTCTACGTACATCATTTCAGTATCCAAGGTCTTCATTTTCTTGCTTTTATCAACGAAACTCGCTATTCGTATCATTCCAAGTTAGGCATTTTAAGATGGTCCAACTCGAAATTCGTCCCTTTTCAAACTATTAAAAACAGCGATGCTGTTTCTTTGCGGTCATTGAAGGTTAATAACGACCTGTTCCTGGTTGTGGCGAGCCTTTCATTGACTTATGCAAGCGACCGAAGCGTGGCAATTTACAAGGCTAATGGAAATGAATTCAAATTTTATCAGACGTTAAAATCGGTAAAGGTTTCAGATGTTGCGACGTTTAACCATGAAGGGAAGACGTACCTTGCTGCCTCCACTGTTTCGTCCGCTGTGGATGGCCATTTGTACGAATGGGTTTCGTAGACAATATGCAAGCTTCGAGAAAACGGAACTGTTATATATACATATATATGACTGGAGAATTTGACAGGACAAACATGAAGTAGAATTAGGATAGGGGACTGGTCATTGTTTATCACCCTAGGGGTGGGGGTGGGGGAGGATTTTTGATTTTTGTTGTGACATCAATTAAACTAACTAATATTTCTTTTTGACCCCTCCCCTTCCCCCTTATTAGTGGTTGCATGCTACTGAGTGATCAATCAAATAACTTTATTTTCCACGGTAGACGGCTCAGCAAGCTGATTTTCAGACATTCCGTGCTAATGACCCGTCTTTGATTCCTGTCAATGTTTACTTGATCCCCCCAAGAGGCACTATATTTCTTTATGATCCATGATCCCCCCTTATTAGTGGTTACTACTGTGTGATTACCTCCTTTGATTCCTGTCAATATTTACCTGAGCCCACCCCCCTTCCTCTCCGTAAATCCTCCGCCCCGTAGGAGATAAATAAAGTCCTGTCCCTTAGTGGAAAGTGTTAGATGCCGCTGATCATGACTTAGTTTAATAAAATATTGTAAATGTGGAAAAAGGAGTTGAAATAAAGCTAGTTGAAATATGGATGATTTCCATCCATCCATCCATCCAGCCTGCCATCCAGCCTGCCATCCAGCCATCCATCCACTTTTTGTTCGATTCGCTTATTCGTTACTTCATTAATCCGCATCTTTAGTTGAAAATCTGTCAATATTGTCATGTTTAGGAAGACTGATGACAAAACGACGAAATTAAAAGCAAACACTCTCTGCACAGTCTAACAAAACAAATATTCCTAGAAACTGCAGTAACAATCACAATATTTGTTCAGACTGCTAATCTTATTTACCGAACTTTATTTGCACAACTGCTTACCCATCAGTTTTTTTTTTTTTTTTTWATTTTTTTTTTTTTWAATGACTTTCGAGTCAATGGACGACAAGAAAGTCCTGATTTGAAAACTTTAAGGTGAAAACGAAGAGTGAACTGAAATCTGAGAGGAGAAAATGAAGTTTAAAAAAAGAATAAAAGCTAAATCGATCTATAAAGAAATACATGCTAAAGTTCCATTTCCCTAAAATATCGTTTTTTCAGCCTTAAATGTTGATAGGGAAGCGCTAATTACTTTCCATGCGTATGCTTTTGAACGAATAACGATGTTTGCCAACAAGAAATTAAAAATGGTATTTCAGCGTACAGATCATTGATCAAAAGTTGTAGTTGTGTTTTTTGTTTTTTTGTTTTTAGGCAAATATACCAATAAAAAGACTTGTTTAGTTTGAAGCAAACGGTCAGGGCTATTCAAACAAAGATAGCAGATATAAACTTGAGTGAGCTTGAGTTTCGAGGCATTTGGTCAACTGAGTTGGACTCGAGTAAATTTTCTTGATCAAAGAAGATCCATTCTTCGACTTATGAATCATGGAAACTCGGATGTTTGTGACGCTTTTGCTGATCGCTGGACTCTCGTTTGTGCAAATGGAAGAATCTTCTAAAACGGTAAGATAATCAGGAGCGAGTGAGTTCGTCAGTGCCCTGCTGCACACCGGACGCCTTCACAGCAAAAGATTTAAGTCTATGACCTCGTATACTTGCTTTAATTTTTATCTCATTTTGTGTGTCGCGCCAACAAAAGGGTGCGTATTTATCCCGTAGTGAAGAACTTAACCAGTAGCAAATGAACTTTTTTCTTTCAAACAAATGAGTTGCAAATGTACATTACGTGCGATTAAGCATATCTATTCTTTTATTGATGAAACAGACTGAAAGCAACCCTTTGCTCAGCCACAGTGTAGCTAAAGATCTAACCACACGAAGCATGGTCACAAAGAACAACGATGACAATGAAGGCAGCAGTGGTAGTGGAGGAAGCGGTGGTAGTGGTGGCAGCGGTGGCAGTGGTGGTAGTGGAGGCAGCGGTGGTAGTGGTAGTAGTGGTAGCGGAGGCAGCGGTGGTAGTGGAGGCAGTGGTAATGGTGGTAGTGGAGGCAGCGGTAGTGGAACATGCCTTTGCAAAGCTGGAAAAGACGGTAGGTAACACGAAAACTATTAAAAAACGGCTATCCCTTGAAATTTCAGTAAAGAGATGTAGCTAAAATTTCATTTTTTAGGACGAGACGGAAGGAACGGCACCGATGGAAAACCAGGAGAGAAAGGACAAGTCGGTCCAAAAGGCGAAAAAGGAGAACAAGGAGACAAAGGAGACAAGGAAAGCTGCTTTGTTTTTTGATGTGAATTATGTGAGAGGTGTAACTGATCAGTGGATATATTGTAACACTTTGTGCAGACAGATAGCAATTTTGCGCGTGCAATGATACTTCACATTTCATCTATTTTTTAAACGAAATATTTTACAACCACCATATAAAATGACAGTTTATCTATATGTACTGATGATGATATGCAGAAATGTGCTCACTCTGGAAGATTTAGAATACTCAAATAGTCAGGAAGTCAGAGAAAGTGGCACATTTTTATAGGACCTCGTACATCTTTCTTTAAAACATCTCTCGCGCTTTACAACTCCCATCGTGTTTATATCACATGTAATACAAGTAAGGATGTTATCCTGTCTTAATTTCTTTTTGCTTGCACGAGTTATTTTTTTTTAAACTTCCGGTGACAGGGAGAGAGGGGTTCTCCAGGTATCCGCGGACCTCGAGGAGAGCAAGGTCTAAGAGGTCCTATTGGTAAGACTGGAAGCTGCACTTGTAGCGTGAAAAAAAAGGTAAGGCTACAGCAGATGATGATCTGAATGTCTCGCAACAAAATGTTCGGCGTCCCATCCAACAACCGCTTGGGAGTGTTAACTCTGATGTTAGATCAGTTTTGGTATGAGTGGGAAAATATACGGTACTAGCACGGCACGTACATGGTACGACATACCGTAACATTRAAATGGCTTCCCATTAGATTGTAGCATAACTCGATGGGCAACGTATAAGCGCATACATGCATATGAAAAGTAGAAGCACGCATGAATTACTTAGTAATACAAATAGATATCTATATTTGTGAACTGATCAGTTTTTTCGTCGTAGGATTTGAATGACCTTAAGAATAAGTACTCTTCCATAATGAAAGAGAATAAATTGCTCAACCAAAAGGTATGGAAATCCTTGATGTCAACCTTGAAGTACGCATATATTTTTTACTATATTTCGATTTTATTGAGTTAATAATGGAAGTTGTTTATTATATAGATTCAAGAGATGCAGTTGAAGATAACAGGGCTAGTGAATAAAAACGAAACAAGTAGGTGGAAAAAACCCTTTTTCCTAATCTATCCTCTTTCTTTCTTTAACGATTCATAGTGGTTCTTGTATTGGTGTTCATTCATCCATTCATTCATCCATCCATTCATCCATCCATTCATCCATCCATTCATCCATCCATTCATCCATCCATTCATCCATCCATTCATCCATCCATTCATCCATCCATTCATCCATCCACTTATTCATATCCACTTATACATTCATTCATCCACTTACTCGTTCATCCATCCATCCATTGATTAATCTTGCAATTGATCCCTTCACTCGTTTATCCATTTATTCATATGCTTTTTCTTTATTCACTTGCGCGTCCATTCCTTTTCCATTTCCTCTATCCATTACCCATCCATTAATTTACTTCAGACTCAATCCTCACTCTCTCAATTTGAATTTTTACCAGCTTCTTCATTCGGCCTGTTCGAGAAAGTCCAAAATATCCCAACTAAAGGAGCTATTTCAGTGGAGGCATTCCAGATCGACGGAACGACTTTCGTGGTCATAGCGAGCAACTATCACAATAATAATCCACAAGATAAACCAGTCTCGACAATCTACAAAATGACTGCATCTGGCCTTACAGTCTACCAGAACCTATTTAAAATAAACAGAGCAATAAAAATCAGGCATTTTGATATGGATGGTCAACAYTTTCTCGCTATAGCAATCGTTCAGAACACTATCACAGGAATGTATTCCACAAACTCTGAGGTCTATAAATGGGATGGCAAGCAGTTCGTTCCTTTTCAGAAAATTCCCACCGTCGGAGGGAGGGATATGAAGTACTTCACAATTGACGAATACAAGTTCCTCTGTGTTGCTAACAGTTACAATGGCATAACGACGGCAATCTCTTCGACAATCTACAAGTGGAACAACTACCAGTTTGTGCTCTATCAGAGCATCTTCACAACAGGTGCTACTGCTTGCTCTGCCTTTACCATTGATGGCCAGCACTTTATTTCCTTTGGGCTGACCTCTTCAAACTTTGGTTCAGTTATAAACAAGCTTCCTGTCCTCAAGTTTTCTGGAATCAAAACTGGTTTTGTGGCGTTCCAAACTCTGGGTTCATTGGTAGCTTCTGATGTGACGTATTTCCGAATCCGAAACAACCACTTCCTTATACTTGCAAACAAAGCCACACAAGGGAAGCACAACGTTCACTCGTTCATCTACAAGTGGAATGGCGCGAGTTTCGTTCGCTTTCAAAACATGGAGACCTTTGGGGCAACAGGGGTCCGTTCATTTGAGATCAACGGAGAAACCTACTTAGGCATCTCCAACTCCTAYAACGACCTAACAATTAGTAATGTAGTAGAGTCAGTAGTTTACAAGGCATTTGGTTCAATGTTTGCTGTATATCAGCGTGTACCAAGTGTTGGGGCAAGTGGAATGGACTTCTTCAATTACAAAGGTTCCACGTATCTAGTTATTGTCAACTACAGACACGGAAACAATATTCACTTGATGAGCTATTTGCATAAGTTTCAGTAATTCAGGCTTATTGTCTTTGAACATGCTGAAAAAAACCCAGCATAGTTTGACTTGCCGTGTCAAATAATTAAACGAAGCCGAGAWATATAGTTGTCAGTTTATGAGTCAAGGAGTCACTGGGAAAATGGCTAATCGATTCGAAATCCTTTTTGTTTTTTTAATAATTTTGTTATTGATAGTACAACACATTCATTTTCTCTTTCCAACACTTCGGATATTCTTTCATTATCTTTCTCATCCAATTTCTTATTCCAAATTCCATTTTTCAACCAGTTGAGTTATCCATTCTGTTTGTCAAACTCGCATCCCTATTCCATTTTCTTGTGTTTCTTTTCAATCCATATCTTTCTTTTCTTCCTTTTTTCCTTCCTTTTTTCCTTCCTTCTCAGTCTCAGATTTCCTGTTTTTATTCCCAATTCTTGCCAAACTTACTCAACTCTCAAAATAGTCTTGTATTCAAAAATGCCATAAACAGTTCATAATCTCATTTTAATTCCAAAAATATACATTTATTTCATGAATGCAAATAGAAAATGTTGAAGTTGATCCAAGTTACACGTAATCTGAAAAGAAATATATTTTCAAATATTAGCGGAATAATAATGGGAGACTCCATTTGTATTTACACTTCCCGACTCTAACAGTATACAAATAAGACTCTATCACCTTAGTTRTTACAGGACAAATTCTACTAAACCTCCCTCCCATAGATTCTAGTAATTTTACTATTACATATTACATACAGGACCTGAAATGTACTAACTCCCCTCCCATAGATTCTTGTAGTTTTGCTATAACAGGACCAACCCTCCATTTCCATAGATTCCAGTAGTCTTATTATTACATGACAAATGCTCCCAACCCTTTCTCCTATAGATTTTAGCAATTTTTCTGTTACAGGACAAAATCTAYTAACTCTTCTCAGGGCATACTCTATTTACTGTCCACTCTCCTTTACAGTTCCCGGCATCTTGACATTTTCTAGCTACGTTTCCTCCCCTCCATAAATTCTTATGGCAAGATTCTACTTACCCTCCCTCCCATAACTTTCAAGCATTTGTTGACGCATCGTGGTTTCTTCTATTGTGAGTTGAAGAGTCTCCGGTTCAACGGTTTGTTTGTTTTCAAGATGGGGGCCAACTCGTAGGTCATCTGAAGATCAACATACTTTGTCTTAGGTGAATGCAATAGATACCACTCGTTAGCCAACCACGCGCAGTTTTTGAAAGGAAAAATTGTATCGGAAATTATTTTGTTAAATCCAACAAGCGATTGTCACGTCATACTTGGTGATCACGTGACCAGTCATGAAGGCTCTCCAAAACTTGAGCTAGCGTTAATGAGCAAAGGCGAGCATTACCGTTTTCTGGCTGGTCCAACATGGTTGCGCTTCTTCTTCGTTGTTTTGACTTGACGTGTTCATTGTGGTTATCATCTTTTGGAGTAGAAGTTATTCTCTTAGAAAAGTCAATGTGTGAGCCATAACTACTTGAACGATGTCGACGCGGACTGTCTGAGGAGCAAATGAGTTGGAAGAACTTCAATCGATGGAAAACGGCTAAAGAGGAAAAATATTTGTGCTCGAAGGAGGAGGAGGAGAAGGAGGAGGAGGAGAAG